CATTGTGCTTGGCCTGGAGAGCTGGGATAAGAGATGGAGTCAGGACAGAGCTGTACCTCAGTATGTGTTGGAGATGAGGGGACTGCCTCTCCTCCAGTGCTGGGCAGTGTCATGGGCTCAGAAATGTGTTGTGAAGGTAGGACACAGGGATACTAGTGAGAGTCCCCTGGGCAACACCTGCTGCTTCTGGAATTTGTCTGTGAATAATGGCCCTGTTTTGTGCATAGTGTTTTGTGCATAGTGGGCCACTGAGGAGGATTTCTCTGGCTTGGAGGTCTATGGCCTTTCCAGTTCTTATTCTCTGGAGTCAGATGGCTGCCCACTTGTTTCTGAAAACATCTCCTTGATAGAGCAAGGGAACTATGAGTAACTTTAAATAGAAGGATCACAAAACTTCTGGAGGACAGCAGCCCTCCTGACAAGTAGTTAAACTTTGACTGATCACACATTGCCCTCATAATCATATTAATATCATGTATCAAAGGGATTTCAACTTGTACCCTAGCCCCTGCTCCTTCCTTTTAGCTTCTCTGTCTTCCTGCTGGATCAGGAAAAACATAACCCAGTGCATGTGTGTCCTGTCTTCCCACTGCACAAACCTCTTGCAGCCTTTGCTAACATTGGCTTGTCCTCTGGTGTTCAACAGTTCCTGTATTTCCTCCCCCACACCTCGCTCATTCAGAGCATAATTGTTTCTTTGGAATTATACCACTCCCCAACTCAACAGTAGCACAAAGATATACTGAGAAGAAAGTTTGATTTACCTTTATTCATAACTTTGACTTGTATGAAAAGCCTCTGTTCTAGAAAGCATGTAAAATAATTGTCCCAACACCCCTTTGGCATGTGTTCAGATACTTTACTTCAAATACTCCTTTAGTTTCTCCCAGTGCTGCAGACAAGTCTGCCTTCCCCTCTTGCTCTTCAATACAACTTCAGCTTTCCCAAGCCGGGTGCAGGAGGCTGGGCAGTGGGGCAGGTGGCTGCTGCTGCTGGATTTCCTAGTTTCTCCCCTCCCTTCCCCGGCAGCCCAGGACATAGATGCTCTCTGCAGTGTGGGCAGGGAGCCGGTGTGGGAGGCTCCTCCAAAACACAGTTTGTCCCATTTAAGGTGGGGGATATGTGGCAGTTACTGTAAAAAGCAGTGTTTGTTTTATGGTTTAAATTGTAAGTGCTTTGAGGGCAGGGCCTGGCTTTTATGTATGTACATGTGGGTGTGTATTTTTATACAGTTCTTAACATGAGACACGCAGTTAGGAGCTGCAGTGTGCAAAGCCATGGCTTTCTGTCCTGTGGTAGCTCAGAGAAGTGTTTTTCCAGATACAGAGAGATGGACAATGATTCTGATCTGAACACTGGGACTATTAAGAGACACAGCTTGCTTTGGACCTCTGGACACAACTGTTTTCCTTTTGTTGTCACCAAGTAGTGCACCCCAATATATTCCAGGTGCAGCAGTGATAAGCTAACTGTAGGAACATGGCTCTGTGTCCAAAATTATGTTGGGATGTGTTCCTTGATCAGTTTAGGAAGAGAAAGCTGCGTTGTACCCTTCATCAATTGATGACTAGGATGCCATCATTAATCACCCCTCATCCTTAATTTTTGACAACAAAACAATTGCTTGCACTACAAAGACTTTGGATTAGAAAACAGACCTTGCTCTTCATGTGTGCTGTAGTAGAAGAGAATTTGAACTCAGCAAAATTTTAATTTGTTTTAAGCTTCATGCCTTTTTTTGAGAGACAGGAATATATTTTTAAGCCTTTGTTAGATGCATGCTGAGGCTGTATTATATTACTGGGATAAGTCAATGGTGAAATTTTTGGTTTCTTTTCCTCTGGCATACTCTTAACTTAGTTTTGTCCTAAATTACCACATTTCTTCTGAAATGTGATGTATTCTTCTGCAGCTCATAGTGTGTGATTTCACAGTTTCTCTATTTTGTAAACTTATTTTGTAAGTTTATTTTGTAAACTGAAATGTCCTTAGGAAAGGTTCAGGTCAAAGCTTAGGAGTGACTCCAGCAGTGAGAACAGAGGTATGCTGGATTAGACTGCATGGGGGCTGTGAAATCTCGGTCACTGAAAGGCCTTAGTAACAGGTACAGCTGTAAAGAATGACATAAATATTACTAGCTCTGCCAAGATGGCCTCTTGAGGTCTTTTTTTTCTCTGATAATTTCCCTGATATCTGGATAATAACATTTGATTAACACTCTTCTATTCTTTTAAGTTTCCTTGAAACTTAAAATCAGAATCTAGCATCGGCTGGGAGAACATCCTGAGGGTCTTCCATTGTGGTTCTGGGATGTCTAAACTGACTGACCCTGGGCCCCTGGCTGTCACAGGAGAAGTTTTGACAGCTTTAATTACATGCCCTATGCTCCTTTTCCCAAGCCAGAGAACACTCACTGTGGAACTGTTACCATGAAACTCCTACTGGGGACAGCAAGTAGATTCCTTTCTGCTTTCCCAGGGTCAATGGAGATGAGGATTTTATCCTTATTAGCTGCAAACACGAATGAAAGAAGGCTGCAAGGAAAAGTCATATCCTGTGCACAGCCTTGAGGTCTCTGATGAAACAAAATAGCACAAAATTTACAGATGCTAAAAACAGTGATAACATTGGTTTGATGCTACATTGTCTTCCTTCTGTAATACAGTAAAATAGCCTGTAATTCACATTGCAAAATTGGCATGCATGGCTCTTTGAAGGTATCATCTTCATTGTATGTCTGCAGTGGCCAGAGTTACAAGCCCACCCACTAGAGTGCTATGACAAGCCATACAAATAAATAACCAGGGGCAAATAACACCAGCTCTTCAAGGGCAGCTGTCCACTCAATATATCTTGCTTAGGTTGTGAACTCTTCAGTATAGGAAAACTTTTGTGCCTCACACAGTCTTAAATTCACCCACGGTGCTTAGGAAGGAATAGATCATGTTAATTTTGTTTATTACATTATATAAAATGTTATTTCAGTTCAGTGACTTTTAAATCTTTGCTGACAGTGACATTAGTACAGACTTAGAGAGTTTGTTTGCAGCTGTGTCTTCAGTCTGGCATTTTAAGCTGAGCACTTGTGGCCTGAGGTGGCTGCTGTAGCATGAAAATTCTTTGGAAAATATGCATGTATTGTGATTTATTTATCTTTGTATGAGTATTTCATCTGTTAGTGCTAAATGGGTTTTTGGAGGGTGACTATAGCAGTGTCGTTACCTGTGTGGCTTCACTGTTTCTTTCTTCCTGTTTATTGAATACTGGCAGCTTTTGTGTTTTTCCCCTGCTCCCAACTTGTTTGGCTTTCAGACCCTCTCTAATTCAGGAGTCTGCAAGCAAAAAATTTCTTCCTTCAAAATGAAAAACAAAACCCAGCATAGACGAGCTAAATTAGCTTCTGACCATCTGTTAGAAGGTTAGTAATACCACTGCCTTGAACTATGGCTTCACTTTCATATTTCATGCAGCAGCTTCTCTGCATTGTTTATATTGTGGTCGAAGGGGATCTTCCTATACCAGGATGCAATAGGAACGTCATTTTTCCTCTGACATGAGCAGATGTCCTATCTGCAGTACTAGCAATAACATTGCTGCTTCCTGTTGTTGCAGGTGTTGTTAGCAGGCTGGAGCTGAAGGCAAAGAGGGGGCACATTTCAGCCAGTGCCATTCAGTGCCATCAACACCAGTGCTACCTGTGCACCTCCTTTTCCAGGTGTACTCTTTAGCAGTGACTATCTTATGTAGCGGGCAGGGAGTTTTCCTGGAACACAAATTTATTTCCTTTCTATCGTACATTTGCTCCCAAACTCTGTTGTTCTTCTCTGCCTTGACCTCTATGCTTTCTCTAGATTTGTTTACACTAAATCCAAATTACACGTGGTGTGTGACCATATTTAGGGAAGGGGTGCCTGCACTGAATCTGGCACATATTTAAGTGTAAATCTCCCCTCTCTTAGGTTTCAAGGCACAGCCTTGTGCAAGTCTTCAGTCAGCAATTAGTGCATTCTTTTTCCTTTTTACAGGAGTTTGCTGTCAAATCTAGTGACACATTTCTATCACTAATCTGGCAAACTGCCATTCAGACCACAGGAAGCCCAGGAGAGAAGAATATACACTTAGGGCCTTATTCCATGTTCATTATTCCCTATAGCTGCAGAATTCCTTAAAGTCTCTAGAAGTTTGATCTGAATGGAAAGTATTTTGCCTGAATAGCACCCCTTATTGAGGCATTGTCACCAAGTCACAAATTTAGATGAGTGTTGTGGCTAGCAGTTTAATCTATATGGCTTGGCTGGTTTTTTTCACACCAACACGGGGAGTGCTAATCACTTCTAATGGTCTAGCCAGGATTGTCTGGCAGTGAAGGACTTCTCGATTTGAGAGCTGGACACTGAAGGGAAAAAACCCCACTTCCTCTTCAAGACTTTAACTGAGAATTTATTCCTTTTGGCAAGGAACAGAATATTGTATTTGAATGATTTTCAAAGGGAAACACAGTCCTGCTAAAGGAGGAAAGCCAGGGTTCCGTTCACAAAATATATGCAAAAAACTTGTGCTTTGGAGGAAAAGAAACAAAGACAAAACTGCCATCTGTGCATAAAAAATAAAAGAAGTGCAAATGGTAAATGTAAGGCAGTATTCTCATATCTGTCAGTTAGAGATAATGGGGAAGCCTTAAACTCTTTTCCTATTTACTTCTTTGTGCCTTATTATATGAATCTGTTGTTGTACTTAAAGTGCGTACTAATATTTTATGTTATTACCATGTAGAGACTTCAAAAGAGATTGTAAATTAGTTTCCATGTTCAGATCATTGCTGGTTCATTGGCTACTATTATCACTTGTGATTTCATGGAGCTATAATTGTTGGGAAGTAACTTTCCTATTGTTTTTGCCAGCATCACCTATAATTTCCATAATAATAAATATTGTCTCAGTCCTTCAGGGCATTCTAGTAATTTTTGGGGGGTTCATTCAATACTGTCTTCTCATTCCAGGTTATTGAAGGAAAGCTGGCTCCTTTCTTGGGGAAGGTGATCAAGTTTGCCACCTCTCATGTGTACAGCTGCAGCCTTTGTAGCCAAAAGGGTTTCATCTGTGAGATTTGCAACAATGGAGAAATCCTTTACCCCTTTGAGGACATTTCTACAAGCAGGTACTCTACTGCAGTGGTGTCAGTCATACACTTGATTCACTTTACGCATCACACCCTTGCGGATTCCTGGCCTCCTGACCTCATACGTAGATAACTAGGGGCTGGATTCCACTGGTGCACATTCCTGAGCAGGTGCAGCAGATCACTGGTCCAGGGAGACCACCTTGAGCAGACCTGGAAATAAATGAGAAGAGCTGCTTCCCAAAGCCCTGTAGGTCTCAGAACAGCTCTTCAAAAAGGGAAGAGTCCCCAGTAGCATCACACAGCATGATTTATCCAAAAGTCTTCTGAGTTTGCAGAGTGTCCTGAAAAGCCAAATGGCTTCTCTGGAGTGATCACAGACATCTTTCTGGTCTCTGGTATCACTGGGCCCATAATGTACTGGGATTGTCCATTATAAAATGATCACCATCTGTTCTGAAGTGTTTCCCCCATGAAATGTTATGGCTAATGCTCTACTCTCTCTGTGTGCTTACTCCTCTCTGCCTGTGTATGCAAGATTTAATTTTTTTTTAATGACATTGCTATTCTCAGGTGGCTACAAAGTAAGTATAACTGTATGCCAGTCCTAAACTATACAGAAGAACCTTTATTTCACATTATGTAGAGTGCTGGATGCCAGGTCAGGGACAGGAGTCACATGAAAAACCTAAAAGCAAGATGCAGGAAACCAGAATAGACTTGGAAACAGCAATGTTACTACTCTTTTCCAATAGTGTCTTGGATTTTGAATAAAAGAGATGGAGTTTTTCACCCTTAACAGAAAGACAGTGTATCTGACAGCACAGCATTCCTCCACAGATAAGTACTTTTTGGCTGTTTCAAATACAGTCGTTTTCTCCAAAGAGTTCATTTGAAGGAAAAAAAAATTGAAAACATTTTTTCCAATTGAAAATTGGAAACAATCAAGACCAACCTGTTAAAAGGGCTTATTAAGAATCTGATTCCCCTGTGTGTGCAAAGATGTTAAATTACAAGTAACCAAGAACTACTCTTCAAGGATTTTTCAGTCTAATCTGAGTTTCAAAGACTGTTTGCCCATTTTATTTCCAGAGTCTTATTCTAAAGAATGCACTGACAAAGCAGTGGACATAAGCTAGACAAGGTGTGCATCTGAGCTCTATAAACAATTTTAAGAAAGAATGTATCTAGGGTGCATGGCAAGATAGGCTGAGTTAAAAAGAAAGAGACTAAGATAGCATAAAACATAAGATGTCTGTTGAGACTGTATAAAAGGCGATTGAAAATATTCCCAAAAGATTGATGAGAATGTGTAAGAACATTTGGGAAGACAGATTTACTTTAGAATTTGATTTGTCTGGGGGATTTTTGTTCCCAAAAAAATTATTGGGTCCCGCCCTTCAGCTGAGATCAGACATACCTTGCAATTACAGAGTTTAAAACCTTCTGGAATCAAATAGTATTTGTCAGCAGTTCAAGCCAACAGAAGTTGCTCTAGTTCCTGCTTTTATGTGAATTAGAAGCCAGAAAGGACTTTTGTTCATGTTTCACAAATGTGAAGTTGTGGTTCATGTCATGCCAAAGACAGCAGCCTTTGTTAATGATTTTAATTAAAACACAATCAGCATGACAGGTTTTCCAATATTTCTCTTTCTGATTTTGTTGGAGATCATCCTGCTTACTCCTTTTGTACTCCTTATCACTAGACCTTGTTTTTTTCCCCAGCATTTTCCATTTGTCTTCCTCGTTAGTTTTCTTATCTCATTACTACTTGTGTGTGCATGTGTACTATGTGAAATTAAGCAGATTATTTCTGTTCCATATTTTTGCTCTGGAGACAAGTTATGCCAACAGAGGAGTTTGTATGTTTTACTGTGCAGCTGCATCAGCTGCAAAGCAGTGAGGGAGAATGCCCGGTAGAGGGGTTTTGTATTTGCTTCTGTCTCTTGAAGATGAGGGAGGTTTCTGAGGTAGGTGTGCTGACCTAAGACAGGTGTAGGGTGAGGAGGCTAATTAGAAACAGGTAAGGTACAGAGTAACCTGTGGCAGATGGAATGGCAAGCTGCAAAAGGTTCATGTGAAGACTTGCAATTATACCTGAAAATTCTGGTGACGTGTTCAGTTTTCCTTGCCAATTAAGTGTCGTACAGAGCTCTGAGTAAACAGCTCAGATTTGTGATTTAGTTGTACTACTCTGAGTCCTGAATGTACAGTGAGAATTGACTACAACTCCCTTTCTCCATCCTGGTTTTCTGGAATTGCTGTCTACAGCACAGTATTCACATTTTGGGCTCGATACTAGACTGCCGAAGTACCCCGGCTGAAGCTGCTGAGTTAAGGAGGGAAGAGCAGTTGAGCTCTGAAGACAGTTTTTCCTTGCTTTTAAATGATGCTTGTTCACTTTTGAGCATGCTATTAACTCAACCAGCAAACTGGACTGTAGGGTTAGAAATATTCAAAAGTGGGTGCGTGACAGATTTTGCAGACTTCAGCTCTTTGCTGAATATTTGAAAAGTGAAGCCTGCTTGTATGGAGAGTGTGTGTGTGTATGTCTGTGTTGAGGTGGCATTTGTTTTTCTGGCTACCTCCCTGACCTTTCCTGCTCTTTAGAGAGAAGAGTGACAGCTGTCAGAGTGGTCAGTGCAATTCCAAGGTGGTTCTCAGCTGGCTGTTAACTTTTCATCTTCATAATCTCTTAGGTCAGCTTTGAGGTGAAGAGACTGTTTCTCTCCAAAATATTCTCAGGAGTTTCTGGATCAGTCTTCAGTAGGAATTTATGAAGGATGGGTCTTCTTTAGATAGATGCAGCTGAGAGAAAAAGAGGGCCCCTCTTGAGGGCTGGAGTTTCTCTTTGGTCTGGTTATTTGCTTGAGTCATTTTTGTCAGTCCTTGGGCAAACAGAGTGAATACCTGGGTTATGCACTCCTCAGGGCTTGAATACACATATATTACATACCCTTCTCTCACTAATCAGTGTGACACATTCCTTTGTTGGCAAACGGTTCCAAAACAAACACAATCAGTTCATTTAATTAGCGGGTCTGTGGGCTGTGCTTGGCAGGCTCTTTACATCCTGCTCAACAATACAGCGCAACAGTTTGCTGCCTTGAATGTAAGGGTGGGCTCACAAAGTCATAAGCTTTCTAATGATATTTCCTTTCTTTGGCTTTTCTTGGGAGGTGGCCATTCTGCAGAGATCTTAATGAAAGCTATGACTCGGCAGTTAAACAGTTTCTTAAAAATTGTCCCATGTTTTTGATGTCTCTTCCAGTCAGGTTGATTCTTTGGTCCTCCATTTCCCTCTTTTCTGTCTTACCCATATTTATATAAATCTTAATCAGGATTCTTTCTGAATTTCACAATTTCACCATCTATTGGAAGGCCTTTAAATCATGAGAACTATATTTAAAGCCTCCTGAGTTAATTGCACATTTCACAGAGCAAATTGCCAACTAATGTAAACTCCCACAGCTCTGCTTTTGCTGCAGCCCTGGCAACTTAAACGAACATCTACGAGCATCTACCTTCTATTTATTTCTGGGACTAAATTTGCCCTGGGCTTAAATTTAGCGAATAAACATATAAAATTGTTCTATTATATCACTTATTTTATATTTACAAGTGTTGTGAAATGACTTTAAATATTCTTGGCTCTAAATGGGCTTGTTAGAACTATCCTTGCCCATTAGTTAGCAACCAGGCACTTCCCCTCAAGTTGTTCTCATATTGCTTATTCTTCATTAATGTGGTGAAAAGTTTTTGTTTCTTCATCCTAAAATTAAAACAAAAAAAACAAAACAACAGAAGTAAAAAGACAAGGTCTGTGTAGTGGCACTGTTGTCTATAATATATGGCTGGTTTTGTTTTACAACTTAGAACAATTTTTAACAAGTTTTAAATCTTAAAGAATACTGAGAAAATTATCTTTGGAATGAGAATAAAAGCTCATTAAGGAGCATTTTCTGTCCCATTAAATAATTAAGCAATTATAGTTCTGATTAAGATTATTATGTGTTACCCAGTTAATAAAGTTTTGGTCTTGTCTGAGTGTTGTCATCGTAGTGACTACTTTGACAGGCAATTTGTTGTGTTTTGCTGGTAAAGCTACTTGCTTGGTTAAGAACAATTTAGTCCATTCCTTGCCTTTTATGTGCTGACTGTCGATGTACGTGAACCATGGAGAGTCGCTCTTTTGTGTTCGTATTCATTTATCAAGGCTAAACTGTTTTCACTTTGCTAAGTTAATTTGTTCTGCAGATCAGTTAAGACGTGTAGACCTTTTAAGATACAAACCAGAAGGCCCAAGTTTAAAATAGACGTGCCACAGAACAGGCTTGACTGTATCAACCAGCTTGGATGCCTCTATAATCTTTGGCCACCATCCTGATAAGACCTATGAATGTACTTAACTTTGCACATAGTGACAAGTCTTACTAAAGGCTCTGAGGCTGTGCATGCCCAAGTCTTTGCAAGGTTACAGCTCCCTGTGTTATGAATGCTTTGTCACTGGACAGAAGCAGCTTTGAGCAATTGGGAGAACGTTAAAGATAAATATTAGGTGGAGAGACTGAAATAGAGCATTTCCAGGAAGTACCTTGGCACAGGCCAAAGGCATCACTCAAAGTATGTCATTTTCCCTCTTGCTTTGATTAGTTTGTCTTATGCTAGAAAGCCTTTCCCCAAGCCCAGTTCACCTGAGTTGTGCTGGTGGTTTAGTACCTAATTTTTTAGCTAATCGAATGTTGGTAGTTGGTTCAAAGCACCCTGACGTGATCTGCTCAGCACTTTCTTTAAAGAAACATAGGCGTCTAAGTAGATGTTCTCTTGGTAATTTAATTTCAGCCGAATATGTCAAAACGGGTCAAAATTTTCTGGCCCACATAATCTTATTTTTATTTGTGCAGCGTAGCACAGTAATGTTATCTGGAATATGTAAAAAGAAAGTGATAAAATATACTGGCTTTTTCATCAAGCATTGTGTTTGGCGACTGAATTAGCTCTAGAGGTTGGTTTTTCCTGCCTCATGTCAGAGTGTATTT